GCAAGCAAAGCTGTGTGGCGCTTTCTACAACCGAAGCTGAGTACATAGCAATGACCGAAGGAGCAAGGGAGGCAATTTGGTTACGTGGACTCTTGGAGGACTTGAGGCAGCCGCAAACTCAACCAACTCCGCTCTACGTGGACAACACTTCAGCTATCACCCTCTCCAAGAATCCGGTTCATCATGGGCGTACAAAACACATCGAGGTGCAGTACCATTTCATTCGTGAGCAACTAGAGAAGGGAGTTCTCGCCGTCAACTTTTGCCGTTCATTCGACCAAGCGGCAGATTTCATGACTAAGGTTCTTCCACATGATGCATTCAACATGTGCAAGGCAAGAGCAGGTCTCATGACACTTCATGAAGCAGTGCAGCAGTTTGAGGAGAATGAGGAGAAGCAACATGGGTAGCAGCATGGAGTGTATGCCAAGGAGATGTAAGAGGAGAGTAAGAATGGGCGTATGTGTGCTTCGGGTCTGGTGCGAGGGGGAGTGTTGGAGAATCGAGTCTCTGCCGCCCCAGCCCTTTGCACACAAGGAGCAGCAAGAATGTCGGCGACGGATTGAAGGCTTCGCGAAAATTCAGAAACTTCCGCAGCAAAATCAGATTGCAGCCGAAGACTCGATACAGTTCGGGATTGCTCTCAAACAGAAGGGTCGACAGTTTCTACAGGTTTCTACAAAACAGAATCAGCTATAACAGTACATTCCAGAGATTTCTTATTCATGCACCTCATGTGGCTCTCAAGTCACTCAAGGTTCATGGAATCTGAATCGTGCCCAAGTTCCCAAGGAAGTTGCCTTGTCTAGCAGCCTAGTTTGAGCTATCAATCTGCATGTTTGTAATGCTTAAGAAGTTGTGCTTTAGTGGGCTTGTTAATCTTGATCATAGTGAAGTTTTCTCTCATCAAGCCAAGTCCAGCAGCTCTGTTGAGCTTTTCCAGCCAAGTTTCCAGCCTACCAGTCATCAAAGCTACTCTGTTTTGCAAGTCAATCCCTCCTAGGTTGAAGCACGCCAGGTGCCATAGGAACACTCAAGCATGCAGAGTAACACGTGGCACGCCCCAATAGCTAAATCTTGAACCAAGGCCGATCTCGTCTCGCGATTCGCGCGAAGATGAGTTTTTTCCACGCCAAAGGAGAGTCAAGATGCGAAATGGCAGTGGAGCCTTCTCGTATCCATTGCGAGGTGCCTACGTGTTTTAGATCTCATACGACTCGTTTGTATGGAACGTGTAGTTTTAATCCCCTAGACTTACGGCACGTAAACGAGAGTCTAGTCTCCAAATTTCACGAGCAAGATCACGCATCTTCTCCTTGTAGTTCAGTTCTTCCTTCCATGGTGAGTTCTCTACATTTTCGCCAACTCAGCATGTTAAGTAAAGACAAACTTCGTGGGAGCCATGGAAGGAATACGTGAAGGAATCACATTATAATGTTGTAATGGTTGAGAGCTTTCACGAAGGGTTAAAAAGCAACCGTTTTGCCTCTAAATAACCTCCAATTTGACTCAGTGGTCCAAGGCATGGAACGTCATAGTTCCAACAAAGGAGTTGTGTTGGTATTTTGGCACAACGTGTGCTAGACCATCGGGCCAAAACGGGGGTTGTTCAGAAACGGTTGCCTTTTAACTGAAGGAATATATTAGAGAGCGTAGCGATAGCGAGAGAGTCTCTGCTATGGGAATGATGTTGCGCTAGCAACTTGGTAGAGTATTGGTAGCGATTGCCTCTAAGGACTTTGTGAGAATTGAAGTAGTATTTGGGCCAAGTAGAATTGCAATATCAACTATCAAACACACAAGCAAACACAAACATATATAGGCAAGCAAGAGTTGCACAATTGTTGCGTGGCGCTGCGAGTAACCCAACCCACACGAAAGTGCTGTGCAGGTGGGTGAACGCGCCCCGCACATTTCCAACCCAACTCGGCACCGGAATGTCTCACCGTGCACGCTACTTCTGCCAACATAGCAAGTGAGCAGCATGCCTCACAAGCAAGGCACCTACGACCCCCAAGACTCGTCATTCCTAGCACCGATTCTGCCGAGTTCGCTGCAGTAGCTTACAGTCACCCGTAGTCACTAATGACCGCCACCGAACTCGTGCGTCGGTGCCGAGTAGACTCAGTCGTTAGGCGCCGACCTGCCAAGTCAAAGGTCATCGAGGGCCCTTACTGTCGTAGGGCCCTCTAACATTAACCCTTCGTGTAAGCCCGCAAATATTACACTTTTGCTGAACTCACCACAAACATGCAATCTTTGCTGCTGAACCCCCAACAGGGTCATGTTGGTCATCTTAGAGTTTTTTTTTTTTTTCAAATAATTCTTCTACCATTTGTGAAACGTACCATTCTCCATGTTTGGAGTTTCCCTTGACAAAAGTCAACGTTCTAGTATGCATCCCTTCTTTGGCCAGCAGCAGAGCTGGCCTGAGCATCAACCCCAGATTTTTGCGCCCAGATCTGTGCGAATATGAGCTCCAATCCTAGATCTATGCGAACCTGAGCGCCCAAGCCCAGATCTGTGCGATTCTGAGCGCCAATCGCAGACCCGTGCAAATCTGAGCGCCGATCCTAGATCTGTTCAAATCTGAGCGGCAAACCCAGATATGAGCGCTGATCCCAGATCTGTGCAAAACTGAGCACAAAATCCCAATACCCACGAATTTGACCTCCAAAACCGCCTCTGCCAAACACTCTAGGCGAGGTCTCATGCTCCTTGGAACCCAAGTCTATCTGAACCAATTAATTTGTCAAACTGAAGATGTTTGCTGATTTGTGTTTGCAGTTTGTTACTTTGCTCAACCCTCACAGTCATCTTCTACATTCTCATGTTGTCATGTTTAGTCACACTCCTCACCTTCCTTGCAGCCCTGCTGTGCACTTTGTCACAACACCAAGACACCCATTGGAAGGCCTGAAGACAAGCAGCCATGCCTCAAGCAGCAGAAAACTTTGAAGACCGACCAGGTGGGTTTCATTTTTTGATTCAATCTGTGGTGGTAGTGCCTGATGCCAAGCCAACCAGTGTTTTCCATGTCGTTTGTATTAACCTTTATCCTTTTGCGTTTCTTGTTCTTCACCCTGAATCAGGTTTTGAGTGCTTCCATACTAACAGTTTATGGGCGTGTCAAGTTGGCAAACCTGAAAGTGATCCTCAAAGGGAGCAGAACGTGGGGGAAGGGAACCTGCAGCCCTACTGTGTCTCCTATGACAACCCTCATGAGGAGAAGGAAGTGGTGGTGCAGGCTCGGCTCCGGCTGGCCTCCCGCACTCTTGAACCAAGTGACTGTCGATTGATCAAGGAGGGCACTCTTGTAGTTGCTTTCGTGAAGCATCCTTCTGGTGATGCAGCCGTTTGCGGGGAGGTGAGACACTGATTGCTTGGTGAATGTGCTGAGGTGCAGCTCTGATCTACTGGTCTACTATTTTGTGATGATTGGTTGCACATGTCCCACCTGGGGAGATGATTGATGGTTGTTTAGACCAACAATGCGGCAGATAATCCATTGACAATGTGATACATCATCTAAGACAGAGTTTAGCGTCTTTCACAACATGTTTAGCGTGATTGTGTGTGTCTTCATTTTGTTCCCTTCCCTCCCCATCCACAGGCACAATATGTCTGGAAGAGTTGTAGTACCAATCAGGCATCGGAGCCGCAAGGATTGATGGAGGACAACTTATTAGATGCGATGGTGTGTGTCTTCCTGCTGTTCCTTTCCCTTCCACAGGCACACTACGATGGAAGAGTCATGTCAATAGATCGTCGGCGCCACAGAGTCCTACGAACAGGAAAGGAAAGCTGCCGCTGGACCTTCGGTGTGCGGCTCTTCCGCCACTGTTTCACCCGACCCCCCTCCAACGACACAGCCCATCCTGCCTCTTATAACAATGAACCTGGACCATTGCCAGCTGCAACCACATCGTCTGCAACAGCAGCAGATGCAGCAGCAGCAGCAGCCTCTCGTTGCGTCAATGTCGGCAGCGACAGAAACAGCAGGGGCGGGACTAGCAGCAGAGAGGGCGTGTGCTCTGACACTGGAGTTACAGAGATCAGCACCAGTTTCAATGATCCTTCTCGCTTTGTTGCAGATGACGGCCGGGAGAGCCGGCTGGATTGGGCGAGTGTGAGTTGCCCGATCTCCGCCCTTTGTGTTAGAGTTAATCCCCTTCGCCCGCTGCCAGAGCTTCTAGAGCAGCACGTGGCTTCACTTCGACAACCGTTTCCGATTGAAGGGGTAGAACGGAGGGAGGTCCAGGTGGGGGCAGACACGGTGGTGGTGAGTGGTTGGGGTTGGGAGGATTGGCGGGTGAAAACCCCGTACTCCTGGTCTGGGGCCCTGCTGCCTGATGCAAGAGCTGGTGGTGGTGGTGGTGGTGTAGCTGTTGCTGCTGCTGGTGGTGGTGGTGGTGCTGCTGCTGCTGCTGCTGCTGCTGTTGGTGGTGGTGGTGGTGTAGCTGCTGCTGTTGATGGTGGTGCTGGTGGTGGTTGTGGTGGTGGTGGTGGTGGTGGTGGTGGTGGTGGTGGTGGTGGTGCTGCTGCTGCTGCTGCTGCTGCTGCTGCTGCTGCTGCTGCTGCTGCTGCTGCTGCTGCTGCTGCTGCTGCTTCTGCTGCTGGTGCTGCTGCTGCTGCAACTTGTTCTGCTGATAAAGCAGCTGCCGCAACTCAAAGTTTTGCTCAAGAGCAGGAGAGGTTGCAACAGGTTGAGAGGAACTGCAACTTGTTCTGCTGATAAAGCAGCTGCCGCAACTCAAAGTTCTGCTCAAGAGCAGGAGAGGTTGCAACAGGTTGAGAGGAAGGGCAAGCGGAAGTGGGCGGAGGAAGATAGAGGAGGGGAACGGAGGGCAAGAAATCCTGCTGCTGGCCCATCCTCCCTGTCTGCCACTCCTGCTGCTGGCCCATCCTCCCTGTCTGCCACTCCTGCTGCTGCCTCATCTCCCTCTCCAGCTGCTGCACCGTCTGCCTCTCCAGCTGATGCCCCGTCTGCCTATGGTGGTATGGGGAGTAAGAGGAGGGGTTCTGTGAGACCCTTTACAGGCATTCCCCTTGGTGCTGTGGTGATCAATCTGTCAGATGATGAGGGAGAGGCTGGGAAGGGTGTATGCGGTGAGACACGGGGGCGATCTGAAGGGGGAGAGGAGGAAAGGAACAAGCGGAATGGCGAGGGAGAGGATGTGGTAGAGGGGGGAAAGGATAAAGAGAAACTTGTTGGAGTGGAAGTGGAGGAGCCGTGTGGAGGAAATGTGAAGGTGGGCTGGTCAGATGAGAGTGGGAGAGAGGAGGTCGAAGTGACGGGAGACACAGAGGGTGAGAAGTTAGTGGAGGAGGAGAAAGAAATGGGAGAAGTGGAGACAGCGGAGGAGGAGCAAATGGAGGAGAACGAAGAGGAAGAAGTGGAGATAGACGATGAGGGGGAGCAGGAGGAGGAGAAAGAAGAGGGGGAAGTGGAGGCAGAGGAGGAGGAGGAGGAGGAGGAGGAGGAGGAGCAAGAGGAGAAGGAAGAGGGGGAAGTGGAGACAGACGAGGAGGAGCAGGAGGAGGAGGAAGATGGAGACGTGGATATACTATTATAAGATGGCCAGCCAACCAGTTGCATTGTAATTAACTACTCCGCATATTATAATGAGTTTTTGCTTCAAGCCTTCTTTCACATACCATCACATTGGTTTTCATGAAATGCAACTGTTTTCATATCATCAAAGCTCAGTTAGCTCCTTATGATTCTTCCACGTTATTGGAATCCACGGCTAACGCCTCGTAGATCCTTAAACTTACGGAAGCTCAAGAAATTCCCCTCACCCAAACTAATCCTCATTTCCTCTGGCCCTGCTCACTTTGTCCACCAAGAGACATGGGATGCCAATCATTACTACACTCGCCTGAGAGGTAGAGAGAGGCGACAAACATGAACGGGGAGTGGGAGAGGGACACACCCGAGGTGGGAGAGGGACACACCCGAGGTGGGAGAGGTGTCAGAATGCTAGGCAGGAATGAAATGACTAGATCAGGGTTTGGTACAAAAATGAAACCCTAATGGGGTTGTACCACATATTGGCTACCCCACTACAGCCTACACATATATAACATGCATATAATTTGACACACCCCCATAGGCAAAGTGGGGGAGAGCAAGGGGTCATAAGACCAGTCAAGAGAAGCAAAGCAAGCTCAGGGTGGATCACAACGTCACCACACTCTCTGAGCACAAGCAAAGGGCCACAAGGCCAGTCCACATGCAGAGGTATATATATAACAGCAACAGTACACTGTTCACTACCTAGCAAGAGCAAGCATGCAGGTATATATATATGTCACAATACAAGCACAGTCACGAGGTGAGCAAGTGAGACGAAACTGACCCTAGGCCTAACAGAGTACACAAGCGCTAATGATCACCAGACGGAAGTGCCTTGGTGAATATATCAGTAGTGTTGGCCCGAGTGTCCACGTGAGCGAGACGAAGCTGACCACGCTGCTGCAACAGGAAGTAACGGAGAGCGATGTGCTTCGTTCTGTGCTCCAGTCTGTGCTCCTGACACAAGGCAATGGCAGCCTTGTTGTCTACGTACAGAACTGGAGGGGAACGAGGCTGCTCTCTCGAGTCAGTCAGCAAGTAGGTGAGCCAACGTAGCTCCTGTGCATCCATGGCGGTGGCGTAGATCTCAGCCTCACAACTAGAGCTGAGAACAGAAGACGAGCGGGTAGACCGCCAAGAGACAGAACCAGAGCCAAGGCTGAACGTGTAACCCTGTGACGACCGCTGCGTAGCCAGGTCGTCGACCCAAGAAGCGTCTGAGTGTCCAGTGAGGAGAACGTCACCCCGTCCTCCAAGCACGAGCCACATGCCCGACGTACTGCACAAGAAACGCAGTACCCTCTTCGCAGCATCCCAGTGCACCTTTTGGTGTCTACCAGGAGCCACGTATCGTGCCAGAAGGCCAAGAGGGTATGTGAGGTCAGGACGAGTGCAGGTCATCAGGTACATGAGCCAGCCCACTAGCTCTGGATACAGGCCACTCGGCTCTATGGACTCATCCGAAGGCAAAGCTGAGAGCGAGTGACCAGTAGCAAGAGGAGTGGACTATGACGAGGAGAACTGGAAGCCGAAGCGCTGAAGGACCTGCTGCACCATGTGTGACTGAGTCAGGGTGATGGTGCGGCGTGCTCTGTCCCGGGTGATCTGCAAGCCAAGGTAACTGCGCAGCTCACGCACGTCTGTGCACGTGTGTCTCTTCTACAGCTCCGACTTCACAAGAGCGAGAGCCTCAGTGTCAGTAGTGGCAAAGACCAAGTCGTCGACGTACACAACGATGTAGAACGGTGGCAGCGAGGTGTCAGTGCGCAGAAACAGCGACGGGTCAGCAGTAGAAGGAGCAAACCCAAGAGCCGCAAGTGTCGTCCTCAGTGTGTCGTGCCACTCACGAGGCGCCTGACAGAGACCATAGACTGGTCGGCGGAGGCTCCACTAGGTACCAGAGAGGAACAACCCAGTGAAGCCGGGAGGCCGGCGCAGCCAGATCTCCTCGTGCAGACTGCCCTGTAAGAACGATGTGCCGAAGTCAAGAGAGTGAAGCTCGTAGTCACGCTGAGCGGCGACGTGCAGCAGCACTCGAAGAGTGGTCATCTTCGGGGTAGGGGAGAAGGTCTAGAAGAAGTCAACTCCCTCTCGCTGACTGAAGCCTCGTGCAACGTAACGAGCCTTGAAGACAGGCGGAGAACCCGGCGGCCGCTTCACCATGAAAATCCATATGCCATCGATGATGTTCGCCCCAGAAGGGGGAACCTCATCGACGTAAGTGCCTGTGGACTTCCAGGATGCCATCTCTGCCTCCATGGCTGTCTGCCACTGAGAGGAGTAGGGACCCGCGATCGCGTCAGCGTAGGATCGTGGAGTCGAGATGTCCAGTGCATCCGGATCTCCCTCAGGGGCGAGCAACATGGCCATGAGATTAGGCGCAACAGCCGCAAGACACTCAAAGTCCTCCTGCCTGTCCTCAAGGACATCCGTGCCAAAAGCACACTCACCCCCGACGCACGGAGGACAGACAGACTCAGACTTAGCAACAAGACTAGCAGCGTAGTCTATTCGATAGGCAGCAACAAAGTCAACAAGCTCAGCGACTCAAGCAGACGCAACGAAGGGTCAGCGACAACAGTGGCAAGCAGACGCGTGACAGTAGGGTGAGAAGCACGAACGCAGTCAGACTCAGGGTCGGGAACGACAGGCAGAGAAGACGCCGGAGGGGACGGCAGGGGAACACGCTGCGGAGCAGAGGAAGGACGCACGGCCATAAGGTATGTGCCGGGGACAGCCGGCGGACGCTCACGAGGAACGCGACGACCAGTACGACCAGTGCGAACAGTGCGAACAGGCGAGACAGGACGAGACGCAGGCTCACAACGCTCAGCAAGACCTCCTGTCTGCTCACTGTAAGGAGAAGGAGCAAGCAGCCGCGAGCCAGGCTGTAACGGAAGACCAGTAGAAGACGGGTGGCTAAGAACCTGACGAAGCACTGAGTCAGGCAGCGGCAGAGACGACGGCGACGGTGGAGCAAAGAACAGCTGCGGCTGTGCAGTGCCACTAGCACCAGCACCTCCAGCGCCAGCACCTCCAGTGCCAGCACCTCCAGGAGCTCCAGAACCTCCGGCTCTAGCGCCTCCTGCTCCAGCACCTCCAGTACCAGCACCTCCGGCAGCTCCCGAACCTCCAGCTCCAGCGCCTCCAGCGCCAGCACCTCCAGTAGCTCCAGAACCTCCAGTACCAGCACCTCCAGCAGCTCCCGGACCTCCTACGCCAGCGCCTCCAGCGCCAGCACCTCCAACAACTCTAGAACCTCCAGTAGCTCCAGAACCTCCAGCGCCAGCACCTCCAGCACCAGCGCCACCAGCCGCAGCACCCCCAGAACTAGCAGTACCACCAGCCTCAGCAGCTCTAGTTGTCAAACATTATATGTTTGTGTGGTTCTAGGCTGTAGTGGGTCACACCATAGGGGGTACACCAGTTTAGGGTTTCATATTTGTACTGTTGTTCCTTCTAGTCACACCATTCCTGTTTCTCATTCTGACATGGTATTACGAGCCTAGGTTCCACCTAGGACCGGAACGTTAGGGCCCACCGTTTCCGCTAGCCGCGCCCTCGTGCGCCGCCTTTTCCTAGCGCCCTCGTGCGCCTCGTTCCTAGCGTCGCCCCTTCAGGCCCCTCACGGCCCCTCGCGTCGCCCCTTACGGCCTCTCACGGCCCCGTCTTAAGACCCCGCGCTAGCCCCTTAAGGCCCCGCGTCGGCCCCGCGCTAGCCTCTCACGGCCCCCTACGGCCCCGCGCTAGCCCCGAACGGCCCACCTACGGCCCCGCGCTAGCCTCCTACGGTCCCGATTGGCCCCGCGCTAGCCTCGAACAGCCCCGTGTGGCCCCGCGCTAGCCTCGAACGGCCCCGTGTGGCCCCCGCGCTAACCTCCCACGGCCCCGTAAGGCCCCGCGCTAGCCTCCCAAGGCCCCTTCAGGCCCCGCGCTAGCCTCTCACGGCCCCGTCAGCCCCCGCGCTAGCCTCCCACGGCCCCTTCAGGCCCCGCACTAGCCTCCCACGGCCCCTTAAGGCCCCGCGCTAGCCTCCTACGGCCCCGAATGGCCTCGCGCTAGCCCCGACCGGCCCCCGAACGGCCCCCCGCGCTTGCCTCTCACGGCCCCTCCCGCGCTCGCCCCTCTACGGCCGAGCTGCGCTGCGCGACCCGACCCGAACCGCGCCGCCCTAGCCGAGCCGCGCCGCCCTAGCCGAGCCGCGCCGCCCTAGCCGAGCCGCGCCGTCCTAGCTGAGCCGCGCCCTCCTTACCTGAGCAGCAGCACCAGTACTGAACTGCTACTACTACTGCTACTGCTACTGCTACTGCTACTGCTGCTGCTACTGCTGCTGCTGCTGCTGCTACTGCTACTGCTACTTCTGCTACTGCTACTTCAGCTATGGCTAGCCCTCCAGTTCTCTCGTTCGATACTGAGGGCCGCCCGATTAAGTTTGAGACCTGGCTCGATGATCTGCATCTGTTCCTCCAGCTCACTGCCAGAGAGGATATCTCGCTGTACGATCACGCACTAGGCACAGTCCCTACTCCTGCTACTACTGCTGCTACTACAGCTGGCTCACAGTGGCAGACTCGTGATCCCCACGCCCGCTTTGCTATTCGCAACTCCCTGCCAGTAGACGAGCGCGAGCACTTTGGCCAGCATCAGACTGCGCACGCCCTGTACACTGCTGTAGTTGCGCGTTACTCCTCCCCGGCCTCAGCTGCACTAGGCCGCCTCTCGCTTCCCTACCTGTTCCCCGACCTGTCCGCCTTCCAGACAGTCGCTGACCTCATCACTCACCTCCGCACTAGTGATGCCCGCTTCCGTGCAGCCATGCCCGCTGAGTTTCTTGCCTCCAACCCTCCCCCGCTCTGGCTCACTCTCTACCACCTAGTCACCCGCCTCCCTGACACTCTGCGTACAGTCAAGGACCACTTCCTAGCTCGCTGCCCCACTGAGCTCACCATTACCGCCCTAGAGAAGGAACTACTTGCAGCTGAGAAGAGTATTGTAGCT